CACCTGGCTGAGTGGGGGTCAGGAGCCCTCCCAGGTGTCCCCCACTTAGACCCTGGTGCTGCCTATTGACTGTGGGCACCACAGGGATGATGCCACCCTATGTACTGGCAGCATCCACAGCCAGCAAAGATTTTGAAAAGGCTTTTTTTTTTTATACAAAGTGTTGTCCTTTTTGCTGGTAAGAAACACCAGTGTCCCCCAGCTCACACCAGTTCCCACAGTGAAGGAAAGCCTCATTGCCCACACCAACCAGGCCAGGGGAGCCAGCACACCCCCCAATACCTCAATGAATCCTGCGCCGCTTCCCCTCCCCGCTCTGGCTGTTTAGAGGCAAACCCAGGATCATTAGTCTTTCTGTAAAGCTCATAATGTGAAAAATGAAGCTCAAGAAAAATTAGCCAAATTACCAGGCTAATCCTTCAGCAGCCACCGCTGCTCCGCTGCACATCTGTAAAGAGAGACCGGAGAGAGCAGCCGGGGCAGCACAGAGGGAAAAGCTCTGGGGTGTCTGTGGTGTGGCCAGGGGAGAGGAGGGACCAGTCCCTGGGGAGAACTTGCTTAATTTGTGCTTCAGTTTTGCTCCTGAAGCAGCAAACTGCAGAGAGAGATAGAGCTGTGCCTCCTCCTGCACCCGCCGTGGTCCCGTGGGACGTGAGAGTCCAGGGGGAGCAGCGGCTCCCACTGCCCACGGCTGCCCCAGGTGCCAGGACAGGGTCCCCCACGTCCCCCCACATCCCGCTGCAAAGTGGACACGTGAAGCTCATGGAATCGCAGGAGGCGGCTGCGAGTTGGTGGGAGCAGAGGCGACTCCTGTGCAAAAGCTGGGGCTGGGTGTGTGGCAAATGCCCCCCAAGTTATCATGAGTCCCCTGCAGAGGCTCCGACTGAGCCAGGGAGGCTGAAGAGGGAGCGGGCGCTCCTGTGCTCACAGCCAGATGTGAAATCCACGGTTACTTCCAACAAACTGGGACTGGCTCCAGCTGCTGACTTCGGCAGTTCTGCTCCTCATGGCACAGGGAAGGCAGAGCTGGGCACTGGCAAAGCCCTGGCACCAGGGCAGGCAGCATCCTCCCGCTGCCCAAATCACCCAGGGACAAGGTCTGACAGACCCAGCTCAGGGTCACGGGGCAGCTGCTGCCACAAACCCTCACTCAGCCTGGGACCATCACCCACCTCCGCTCTGGCAGGAGCAGAGTGGGATGAGCAGAGGCTGGAGAAAACCTCCAGAGGTGGCCAGAGCCTCCCTGGGAAGGGGACCTTGCACCCCCCAAGCGTTCAGTAACGCTGCACGCCAGCACAGCTCACATCACTCACATCTCAGCTGCCGGGCATCTCAGTGTCACTTCTGCATCTCCATCACACCCCAAGGGAAGCAGAGAAGGCTGAACGTTCACAGGTGGAAACATCCCAGGTTGGAGGATCCTGGGGTGTGGGTTCTGCATCCTCCCATGGCTAAAGGATGAAAAACAGAGCAGGGACACCACACACAACTGTCCGGTGAAGGACACGGGCAGCTCAGCGGGACAGTAACCCCCACACTGAACCAAGCTGGTCAGTCGATCTATTTAAATCACCAATTTTAATTATGATTTAAACAAGAAAATCTAAATTTGTATCCCGTTTTTCTCCTCCTCTAGCACTTGTACTGACTGCAAGGTCGTCTTCCAAGGAAAGCAGCTGACAAAGATCAACCCCAGACAGGTTGTTTTGAAGTGAAGTTTCCTCGCGCCGCGGCTGGCATTTCTTTGTGCGAAGCGGGAGAAGCTACAGACACAGTTAAGTGGTTATAAAGTCAACACGCTTCCAGATCCTCACATTGATTACGCTGTATTAGAAGATGGTAAATTATTTATCAGGCTTTCTGACTTGTGATTAGTGTAAAGCCGTTCTTGGATGCAAATTGGAATTGTAATTAGACATGTAGAAAGCCAGCATCTGAAACCTGTTTTTATTGAAGCAGTGTAAGGTACTTTTCCCCTTTTGTATCCAGCATAATTATCAAAGAACACTTTGCACATAAAAACCCATCAATTTATTAAAACCAGAGACAGTTTTACACCCGAAGAGTGAAGTAAAGCTGGTCATCACCATGCCAGGATGGTAGAGCTGGTACATCTCAACTTTCCACACTTGGTTTTTTTTATTATTATTATTCCTGTACTGGAAGAGGAAGACAAGCTCCCTTCCCTCTGCCAACCTACTCCTGAGCTTTGAGTGAAGCACTTCTTGAACAGAGCTACACTTAAAATAACTCCAGAACAAACAGGACAATGACAAAAATCTCTTTGGCAGGTATAGAAGAGACCAGAGCCACTAAGAGGCAGCTTATTACTTTGAGATACTCTGACTTCAGACACTGATCTGGCACTTCCCTTTAGTGCTGTGCTACAACTCATTAAAATTACACAAGTAAAAACTGCTTTTACATCTGCATAAGAAATTTAAATGCATTTAGGTTTCATAGTTTGCCAACTGCAAGCTGTGGTCAGCTTTTGAAGAGGTGTGGTTTGGTGGGGTGGGTTTTTTTTCCTCCTACTTCAAAATAATTACTTCAAACTAAAATAAATTTGGGTTTGCTCTGTCCCTGACCCTCCCTTCACCCCCAGTTTCCCCCCAGCTCTGGCACTGGTGTGTTTTTACACACCCAACACAACAAGCAGGGTCAAGGACAAGCTCATTTGAGACTGAAGTGTGAGAGATCCCAGAACAGCGATCACAAGTAGAAATGTTAAGACTGCTCTTGCCTCGAGCTGCCCTCCCTGCAGGTGACAGTCGCTGTTTGAACCAGACCTTCAGCACGTGAACAGAAAGCAGAGCCTGGTTACAGGCCCCTGGTTTATCAGCCCAGGCAGAGATTACAGGCAAGAGTGAAAAGAGAGAGAGTTTCATTAGAAATGTGCTGTTTCTTTCATGTTAATTATCCAACTCTTCATTAGTAGCAGGTAAGGGCTGTATTTAAAGGTTTCCTCTCCACTGGGAATTACAGTCCAGGAGAAATGCAGACCTGAGTGTCAAGCCCTGAGCTGCCAAGATGATTTTTACTCAAAAATGTTGAGGGTCTCTCTGCACATCCACCCACCAGCCCTGCTGCCACCCTCGCAGGATGCCAGGGGAGAGGGGACAATTCTCCACACGCATCTGAAGCGGCAGAACCAAGCAAAGTGTCATCATCCACGCTGGGATCCAGCCAAGATCCTCCTGCCCCTCGGGATTAGCACAGCAGCTGAGCAAGTCAATTCAAAAGAGGATTTTTGAGAGTCTGGGTCAAACTCACACCTAACCCAAGCACCAGCAGTTGCTCCCAGGTCCTCAAAGCCCCCACTCCCAGTGACACCAGGCTTGAAATTGGCTCCACACCCGCACCTAGATGCCCTGAGCCCCGCAGACAGGAGAGCTGGAGAGAAGATTGCAGGCATCAGGGCACACGCAGCCATCGCTCCGAGGACGCGGTGCCAAGAGCTCGGTCTTGCCAGAGGCAGAAGTTTAACTCTGGGAGAGCACACGCAGCACTTCGGCCTTTAAAGATGAAGAGGAGTGCAGGGTCACTCCAGGGGCTCCGATATTGGTCTCCCAGCATTCAAATCCACAGGCACTTAAATCTCGTTTGGCTGCTTCCACAGCCAGCGGGGAGGTGTCTGCCAAGAGGAAGGCAAGAGCAGGCAGTTAGTCAGCTAGGCCACTGCAGGGGGAGCGGGATGGGCCACGGCACGTTGGAACACACGTCCCCTGAAGTAGGGCCAGCGCTCTGCAGATCTGACACACACAAATGAACACACTGAATCGTCCCTGTATGAAACACCGCCAACCACGCTGCCAGGCAGCTCTGCTAGACACCACCCCACGTTAGTGACACAGCTCCACATCCCACCACAGCCATACAAGGGTTAGGGTTGTATTCCTCTCCTTCCAAACCTGACACCACTGGCAGGGCCACGTGGAACCAGGGGAAGGATGCCCAGGGTGAGCAGAGGGTTACTGACCTGGTCTCAGCAGGGTGATGCCACAGCCGCCCCCGCCAGCCCCGGTCAGCTTGCTATGGAGGCCGTGGGACATCGTCACCTGGCACAGCCTGTCCAGGGAGGGATGGCCGACTCCCATCACATTTAAGTGGTGTTGGTTTATATCAAAGAGTTCCTAAAAACAACCACATGTAAGTGAGATGAGCGTGCATGGTGACAGAGGTTCTTCACAGCTGTGGCTCCCCCCCTGTGCCCTCCCTTCCCAGCCACCCCCTGATCAACCATCTCATTTCTGCAAAGAGTTTGGCCACCAACACGTCTCAGGGCCCAACAGCACTGGGCAGCAAGGTCAAGGCCATGGTCTGAGCCCTGGGCTGCTCATCTGTCCCTGTCCCCCCCCACAACTTGTGCTGCTGCTGCTGCCCACCAGAGTGACAGTGGTACAACAGCCCTGACCTCTTTGCTCAGGGAACACAGAGAAAATCCTCATCACCTCGAGCTGCCAGCAGGCATTTATTTCAGGCATTCAATCAGAGCTCCCCAGTGCCCCCCGACTGCTTCACCTCTCCCCTGTCACACGAGTGTTGAGCAGGAGACCGTGCAAGCCCCCTCGCTGGTCATGGGAAGGGCACTCAGCCAGCATCTCTCATTCCTGGCTGTCACCCTGCTCTGCTCTGCAATCCATCCAGCGTAACTAAATCCAGGGGACTTCTGACACAGCCAAGTCCCAAACGGCGCTGCTGGAGAGGCGACGTGGAGTCACCTCCCCTTGTTTGCACTGTGCAGCACTTCTCCCTCCCCCTGGGCTGTCAGCCAAGGGGCCTCTCACCAGCACCATGCTGGGAATCTGGCACCCAGCATGAGTGGGGTCAAGAGGGCTCTCCCTTTGAGGGAAAGCAGCACAAGCCACTCTCCAAGCAAGGCTGCTCTCCAAGCAAGGCTGCCTGGCTCTGGTGAGCAGCAAGTGCATCTCTGCCACACTGTCCCACCCAGCCACAAACCCCTCTGCTCCTGGAGAAAGCTGCCACAGCAGCAAAGTCCAAATGGCCCAAGTGATGGACAACACCACACAGAGGTGGGAGTTACAGCTTCTCTCCTCCTCGTGCCAGAGGTGAGGAACCAAGGAACAAAGGGAAGGGTTTGGCACCAGGCCCCCAAGCACCACAGTGCCCTCCCAGCTCATCACCACCATCAGTGGAAGATGCTCATTCTCAACAACACTGGTCTGACACCCCAACTCGACCATCTCCCAAGCATGTGGTGGCTGTTCCCATCGCTGTCACAACCAAGGAGCTGGCTGAGATGGGACCAGTCCCACAGAAGCTCCCTAAGAGGAGCCCTGTGCTCCCTCCTCCAGCCAGTCCCACCAACTGCTGCCAAGGCAGCTCCTGATGAACCAGAAGGGATGCAGGGAGCAGTGGGAGCTGGGCTACAGCACACAGGTCACATTACCCTCCCTCAGCTCTGCATGAGTCTCCTGCCAACACCACACAGGAGGGGACGATGCAGAAATAATCCCTCTCTCCCCTCCAGAGCATTTCTGTCCTGTCTGCAAACAAACATGGGGAGATGAAGCACCCAGTCGCACGCAGAGTGTGTATATCACAAGTTCTGTGCTGGGTGGGACAGACGTCCATCTAGAGAGCTCTTGATATGCCTGAGTGAGGGCACAGCGCTGTCTATGATGATCCAAGACACCTGTCATCTCCTGATCTAAAATCTGCCAGGAATCGGATGACAGCTTATGACACAGTAGACTAGTTCGATGGTTCAAATACAATGCTGTCCAGAAAACATTTCAGAAACAGTCAAATATATATATATATAACGCTGCATATAATCAACTGTGCCTCTGTGGGCAACTCAAACACAAGACAAAACAACAGATTCAAGATAGAAACCTGCTCACTGCAGTGCTGCTTCCCAGGCACTGTACACAGGCTGCTTTGGCATCTTTCATGTCAGGATCTCAGTGCACACTTCAAATGAGCCCTCCTCTTCCCCCTCTCTCAATAATTCCAACAGTCTGAGCAATAAGGCATTAAAGTGGAGAGGAGATGTCTGAAGATGTACTGCAAACAGACTCCAGGTCTCTTCCAGCTGACACCAGCTCAGCCATCATTAGGGTCAGCACGCCCTGATGGGTACAGACACCCACTGCCCTCTTGGTGTGAAGGGAGCAGAAGGACTTCACCACAGATCCCATGGGAGACCCTCCCGTGCTTGCTGCAGTCCCAGCAGCAGCTCATCCATGTGCAGTGAGGTGCAACAAAGCCCAAAGCAGAGAGGAGAAGGCTGTACCAACCATCTGCTAACAGCACAGCCCAACACTGCTGCCACAGGTCGAGCTGGGACACCAGCTCTGTGCCACCCCAGAGCCCTCTCCTGCACCCCCAGAGCACACTCAGGGCTGTGGAGGGGACAACCTACCAGCAAAAGCAAGGACAAGCCGAGGTCCTCACAGGAGAGCTGATGGAAGGGCTCCAGATGCCAACAAGGAACTACACCGCTGGTACCAAATGGTTCTTGACTGTCCAAGTCACTTGGCACCCAGGGCCAGGCCAGGTTTGTCTCAGTTGGGACAGTGCCACACATCCTCACCCCATGGTTGCACGGATCGGTATCACAGAGCTCTCAGCACTGAAAAAAACCCCACTTTGCAGCGTGCACAGAAGCGTGTTTCCTCCCAGCAGAGCAGCCTCTCCTGCCCTGAACAAAGCCAAGACAAACACGGATCTCTGTATGCACCTCATGCATCAACGTCAGGTCAGCTCTGGGCACAACTCTGTTATTCTCTGGAGCCAGGATGAGCAGAGAGCAATGGGAGCTGGCTCGTAACCGGTCCATCACAAACCAGTGGCTGCTGGGCTCGCTGCTCTTCGCTCCAGCCCTGGCAATGACAAAGCAGCTGCTTCCCAGGCAGCGGCTGCCAGAACGAGCGCGGCTGGCGTGCGGTGCAGGGAGAGAGCGTCTCTGCCTCAACTCACTCCATGTTTCTTAGCAAAGGGAGACAAAACCTCCAGAGCTACAGGCCCACAGAGCACCAGGCCCGCTCCCTCCCTCCCTGTGCACCACTGTGGAAAGACACCAGCAGCATTTGCTGTCCCTTGGCTCCAGGAAGGGCATTAAAAGCCGCACACACAGACCACGGTTTCACTCGGAACTGAACATTTCCTGCTATCAAATTTTTTTTCTTAGACTTAATGTTCTTTAAATGACATTTTGATGTTCAACAGTAACAGTGTCTAAAAATACTGGCGAACAAGCCCCTTACCTCCAGCACAGGGTAATGCTGCGGTGATGGATTTGCAGGCATCGCTTCCAGAACACTTTGGCACTCCTGAGAAATGGCATCGATGGAGTCCAGCACCGGGTTCATTATAGCAGGGAACTGGGAAGGGGGGGGAAGGCAAGATGTGAGAAGACTGCTGGCTAGTCTTCCAATACCACTGTGATAAAACTGGCCCCAGTGTCTTGGATCTGGACAATTCCTCACCCTACGTGGGGCTACTCACTCATGGAAATCTCCCCAGCAGAGCAGGGCAATGGTAAGTTGCTCCCACCTGCAGAAACTGGAGGAAGAGAGGGAAGCAGGCCAGAAGAAGGAACTGGTGATTTTTGTGGCAAGCCCTGTTAGTGCTGGAGAGGAGGAGGTGAGCTGAACCCCATTCCCAGGGCAGCTGGGTGTGAGCTAGCAGCAGGTAGGAATGCAGTGACCACTGGTGGGATCTCCCAAGAGATCCCCACAAGACCTGCAGTCCCACACAAGGAAACCTGAGCTCTTGAGGGTGACCCCAACCCCCATCCTGCCCCAACACATATCTCCATCCCCGTGACCATGCAGGTGCTGCACCTTCAGGATCTTCTCTTTGACACCAGCCACCAGGATTTTGGTGCTTCGAGGGACTTTTGTATTGGTCAGCAAGATCCTCAGCGTTGGCACCCTGGAAGCAGCAACAAGAGACACCTCCTGGCCTCTCTCCTTTGCAGTTCCCAGCAGCTCCCAAGGCCCAGAGCTACAGTTCATTCTGCCTCAAAGGGCCTATTTGAGCAAAACACCCCAGATAAGGAGTCCCTTTAGCTTTAAAAAAAACTTAATCAGGTGCTTAAGCACTGGCTGGGTGCAGGCTCGTTCCTCTCAGATACACGGAACAACTACAAGCACTATAAATAGAACTGTAATGTATTTACTGAAATCCAGGTTTTTCAAGCTAAATTTTTCCCTTTGAAATACTATCTGCGAGACTAGCCAGCAGTAGCCATTAACTGCTAATAGAGCAATTTCATGCACTGTGAAAGATTTTAATGGAGTCAGATTATACTTCCTTGGCAGGAGGTAGAGGGAACACGCAGGACCTGGATTTGTCTGCAGCTTGGTTTTCACACAGTCCTACCATCAGGTAAAAGCAAAAAAATTCCCCCCTCCCCACAATGTCATTTGCTGCCAGGAGCAGATCTGTTCCTGCTGCCCATAATGCCATGAAATTAATATTGATCCTTTGTGCTGTGTTCATCTAATGTCAGATAATGACCAAACATTTCATCGTTCCCATCCACCCCAAACCCAGAGAACACTCAAGCCACCCACACCCACAGCAAAATCAGGCTACAAAGCCCCTCCACCACACTGTTAGTGATCTCCCATCAATCTCATACCCTATGAGATCCACCTAATGCCTCTTTGACATATTCCACCCACCAGATGTAAGAGTTATTTTTAAACTCGAATATTACCTCTTTAATGGTGTGATTTTCCCCGATTGGTATCTCAGGGCTCCACCTAAAGTAAAATACATGCATTGTCTGGGTACACAGCCAGCTGAGAGATAACGGTGTCGTCAGAGACAGCAGGTCTTTCATCTTTAGAACCTCACCCAGAGAATATGACAGTAATTGCAAGAAACACCAGCTAAATGAACCATGTTCCCAGACAGCATGAATCTGCCTAACCCTGCTGACTTAATGAGAGGGTCTGGCTGGACGTAGTTAACCCAATGCCTTTCCCTTTGCTCTCCTCTACTTCGGGTTCACAATCAGTATTTTTTTTAAAGGCAAAGAGTTTGGCCAGGGTTAAATCTTCACTGGAAAAAAAAAAATTAAATTAAAAAAAAAGAACCAAGCAGTGATTCCCTGGGGCAGAGCCAAGCACGCAGGTTTCAAACTGGACTGAACGTGTGCACTCATGTCAGCAGCCATCCTTCAGCGTGGAATTTCACTGTCCAGAAGAAATGTCTCACTTGGCTCCTACTTTGACAGAGGCATTGCGATTAGGTCTCATTAGAAAGATTATTAAAAGTCTCCAAGGACACTTCCAAAACACTTGGAAGTCTCTGCTAATTGAAACTAAATGACAGCTGTCCAACTGCATTATCCTTGGGACAGGATTAGGTTTCTTTGTTCATGCCAGAATGTTTAAATATCAGTTATTTGTAACAGGGTCTCTGCCCGACAGCACCTGCCTGGGGGATGCAGATCTCTGGTGTTCCTGCAGCCCCAAAAGCTCAGCTGGCTCCAGTCCCAGCTTACAGATGGGACAAACCAAGACAGGGATGGATTCCCTCTACTCAAGTCAAACCAGCAACCTGAATTTGGGAGTTTCTTGTCCTGGCTCCATCCAGTGTCCCTGCAGCAACCCCAACCAAGCCTCATCATGTGCAGAAATGCAACTTGTGGCATCTGCTCGCCGCCTGCCCACAGCTGATGCACACTCCTCAGCAGAGGACAGAAGTGTGGCTGCTCGCCCCCCCCCCCCCCCCTGCCTCTCCTCAGCACCCACATTCATTGCAAACACAGACGTACCCCAGGTACCGACAGCGTTATCCACACCCGAGGGGTTGCCGTGGATCACCCGCTCCCCCTGGAAGGCCCAGCTGTTAATCAAGCTCAGCTCTTCTTCTGGCCACCTGAAAGGCAAGAAAATGACTCCAGTACACAACTGAAACCAGCACACAACCAAAACCAGCACATGGTGAGGGACAGAGAGAAGCTCCAGAGGCCACAAGAGATACAGAGACAGCACAAAGGGCACAACCACTACCCAGCGCTCCCGCTGGCGAGGGAGGGAGCAGATTCAGGAAGATCCCAGCCTTGGCCAAACGATGACCAAATTTAACTGAATGCAAGTCCAGACTTATCCTCACCTCCCTGACACTGTGTGTTACCACACATCTTGGCCTGAGATCCTGCTCCCCAGCAGGCAGGACGGTGTATTTGTCAATGCAGAAGGCACAACGTGAGAGGAGAACAGTAAAAGCTGCGTTTCACACGGCAACCTCAGCCTCTAATTGCCAGCTGCTCGGCTGCAGAAGCTTCACAAATTGGGTCAAAAGGTGTAGTTAGAACTGATTTACTGTCTCCAGCAAAGACTTTGATTTTTTTAGGGATTAACTCCTCACACTTCAAGCTGCACCAGGTGCTGGCACTTAAGAGCACAGACGGGAACCAAATGCAGATCCAGAAGGTGTTACACTAAAAACATAAAAACAAGGGTTTCTGTTGTCTTAAAAGCAGTCACACAAATGGGGGAGGGCTTTGAGAGTTAAATGCCGGCACAAAGAGTCTGGTGCTGGGTCAGGCTCAGCAAGGATCAAGGCCCCTGACTGAACATATTAATTAATGGGCTGTAGCAACACAAAAAGCAAACACAGAGCTGGCAGTTACAAAGCAATTCCTGGCTGCAACTCCACTGCAATCCCACCACAGCGCCTCTCAAAACCCCGCTGCTCTGCACCCACACGCCCACCCAGCTATTTCAAACCCACTCCCTCACTCTGTGCTGAGGGACTATCTCAAACCCTGGCACCCCAAGGGAAGCTCAGCACCCCCAGGGAGCCAGCTAGCCCTCCCACACCCAGCTGGAACACAACAAACACGGACTGTTGGAAAAGCATCAAACAGTCTTGCATAAAATAATGAGAACAGTCACTGCTAAGGCAGGGCAGAAATCCTGAGAGCCACCTGCTACCTGGAAGCCACTTCCTTTAACTCCCCACTTCCCTGGGCCTCAGCTGAATGTCTTTATCCATCTCCACACACACCTTTCATTTCACTTGCCAATATTTAATCTGCGAAGCATTCAGGAAAACAGCTCACGCCGCCGCTACTCAAAATAGAAGCGCAGTTTGCTGTAAACCACTTGTTTTTAATCCTCTTTGAGAGGCTGCGATTCTTCTCTACACAGGAGTCATTATATCACGCTGTTCTTTTCTTGCAACGTTAAGCAAAAACCTTCTGAAGTCTGACACTCCCATCTCTCACTTACCCCTCTGCATGCCAGCTGGAAGAAAAAAATTACGCTGTATTCAAGCTGAAGCGAAGCCGTGCGAGCAGGGAATGAAGACATCCTCATCCTGGCTGCTCACCGCCTGCTTGGGAGCTGGCTTTTCATCTCTCATGCCCTGTGACTACTGGGGAGACTGGCCTGAGCACACAGTGTACAAACTGCTCTGCTCTAGGGATGTGTTTCTGGGTCAGGCTGCAAATTCTGGCTTGGAAGCAGAACAGAGTCACCCCTTCTTAGAATCATAGACTGGTTTGGATTGGAAGGGACCTTAAAGATCATCCAGTCCCAACCCCCCTACCATCAGCAGGGACACCTTCCACTAGACCAGGTTGCTCAAAGCCTCATCCAGCCTGGCCCTCAACACTTCCAGGGAGGAGCAGCCACAACTTCCTTGGGCAACCTGGGCCAGTGTCTGACCATCCTCACAGTGAAGAACTTCTTCCTAATATCTCATCTAAACCTCCCCTCTTTCAGCTTAAACCCATTTCCCCTTGTTCTGTCATTAACTGCCCTTATGAAAAATCCTTCCCCTTTCTTGCTGTCTCACTCTCAGTTCCACACAAAATCCCCAGAAGCCAACCATAAAAGGTTGCACCTGGAACCAAGGGCACAAGGGAGGGTTCTGCAGCTCCAGCTGTGATAGGCATCTTTAAACAGAGCCTCCTCAGACACACAGCACAGCAGACCAGTTTGTCAAGACTGAACTCCAAGGGAAAGCAACCCAAGGGCAGAAGGAAAGAAACTCCCTTTCACCAGCCACTAATAAAGGGGAAACTCAGGCAGGAGATCAGAAGGAAGTGTACCACATGGAGAGAAAAAAAAATCATGTGAAAACACAGAAAAAACAGAAAGGAGACTCAACTCCTTGACACAAAACCTGAGAGATGCTCAGGGACAGAGCGGAAATAGAGGTTAAAAAGAATTCAGCACATGATGTGTGTTTTATTTGCTTGGCAAAATAAAGCTTTTTCTTCTTTAAAGTATGTATATCTTACACTAGACAAGGAAAATGGTGGGAGTTTTACCAAGTGCCTGCATCCAGTTGCTTTTATCAGGAGAAGCAAATTGTAAACACGTGGTTCACAGGTCAGAGCCTTGGGACTGAGCATGTCTCTGCTGCTGGGAACACAGCACAGCAGTAGGAGAGGGAGGGGAAGGAGCTGGGCTCAGGATGCCACAGCCCAGGAGTCGGCCAGAGAGAGACCAAGAGAGGTGGCAATGGCAGGATTTGTGCAGGTAAAAGGAAAGTCAGGGGCACAGAGAGCAGAGCTGCCCTGGGCTGTGCAGCCCAAGCAGGGAGGCTTCCCTGATGGGATGCATTACCTGGCTGTGGACTCTCCCTCCTTCAGAGGGCAGGAGATGGCTCCACACGCCGTCAGCAGGGCCCCCGCCAAGCAAACAGCGTACGCAGCGCTTGAACCCAGCCCAGCTCCCGTGGGCAGCTCAGACCACACCAGTATATCCACACTTGGAACATCTCTGAAACACAAACACACAGGATGTAACACAACGACCTCGAATTCCATCTTGAGGAAACGTTTCAAAGGCAAAAGATGCCACAGGAAAAGCTGGTTGAAAACTGGCAAGATCAGCACATGCATCCCACACACACACACACCCGGCTTCACAGTGCTCAGTCAGAACAGCTGAGTAGCCTTGGGAAGCCATTGTACCAGAACAAAGCCTTGCTGAATTGGATCCCTGATTAGCACAGCTCAGGGGCCCTCAGTAACTAAATACTTGAGTAGCACCACGAAGAGACCCTTCAAAGATTGTTGTAAACACGATTTTAAACATATTTCTAAATAAAGCCTAAATATCCCAAATGCTTAAGTGCATAGTTACATCCCACTGGAGCACAAGCTGATGGGGAAGATGAAATGCACATGTATCTGTGCTCACATGGCCCCTTTTCTCCACTGAATGAGTCCAGGTTGTGTTACAGACCCCAGCATCAAACCCAGGAGCTTTTCACTGGCTGGTGAGCAACGTGAACTATGAACTGATGGCTTCAGAGCAGGCTGATGACAGCCCCAGTGCTACCACTGAGCAACTCTGAGACTGCAAAGCACAACATGCTGCAGCTGCACATCATCATTCTTTAACCTTTATTCCTTTGCTATGAATATTGAGGTCAGGTTCTGACTTGGTATAAAACAGCAGCTCTGTATCAGACATTGCCCTCATCTCCAAGTCCAGTAACTTACACTGGTACCATCACCAGTTCAGAAACTGGAACAGCCCTGAGCTGCTGTTACCCCACGTTCTCACATTTTTAGGAAGATTCAGCCCACAAGAGGGATCAGACAATGAATTCACAGCTCATTTCTGTAGCAGTTTTTCTAACCTGAGGCAGGACGACACGAGCTGCTTGCTGGAGGCAGGGACGTGTCTCTGCTGCTCTTGGCTGTGCAGGAAGGGAGGGATGAACTGCTCTGACTGAAGCACCTCAAAGCTTGATGCCTAAATAAGAGCAGATGATTCCCAGCCCACCAAACAGCTCAGCTCTGAAGAGTGTCTCCTGAGGTGCTCAGAACCCACATGAAGTGAGATTCCCTGTAATTTCTTATTTTGCCTCAAAGGTTTGGGTCCTTCCCATGACCTTGCAGAAGCAATTAACAGTGAACAAAACTCAAGAGAGATGTTTATTGTGGGGCAGGAAGACAGCCTTACCCATATTTAGCCGAAATAGCCAGGCACATATAAAGGAAGGCAAGAGTAGCAAGGCTCTCAGGAGCTGAGGCTCCGGCAGTGATTCCAGCAAACTCTCTCAGTGTATCCAGCTGTTCTACGCTGGGGGACTTAGATTCATCAAAGTCAGCTATGGAAGCAAGCAGGGGAGAATTTAAACACTTAGAAAACAGGGAATTGTTAAACTTGAAAGCAGTATTTACCAGAACAACACCTCCTGTTATAGCAGGCAGAAAAAGATTGAGCCAATTTCATATTTCACCTACAAACTTTCTGAGGATTCATGATAAAATAAAAGCAAAATCTCCACCAGTCACACTGAGAACCCAGTGTTTCCACATCCCAAACCTGCTGTATTACAGCCACTGCCTTCCTGCCTACACTTCCCAGTGCACCCATCCATCACTATGTGGAACCTGGCAAGTCACAAACTCTTTATTAAAGAACGTGGATATTCTGATGCACTTCACTCGAGTTTAGACTCCAAACTGCCAGGAACAGGCACTAGTGGAAGAGAACTTTTGGTCAGTGCTGAGAGAGGTTATCAATGCTCTGAGGCAGCAAACTTTGTCCTGCCTCCCACTAAGGCAATGGTGCTCATGAGGATCACAGGAGTCAGTGTCAGGTCCTCCAGAAGGAAATGGCACAACTGCCAGTCAGGGGCTTCCCCCGGTACAAGATGCCACAGAAGTTCCAGTGAGGGCTGGTGTGGGGCAGAGGGGCAGGAGAGCAGGCTCTGCACCCTGCCTCCCCTCACTCCAGCTTCAGAGAAACTCCTTTGTGGCTCCCCATCAGTAACACACCTGGATGCGGTCCCTGGCTGGCTCCTGTCTGTACTACAGCACTACCTGAGCTACAGCAGCGCCAGAACAACCCCCTGGGAACCTGAAACAGGAGGACACAGCCAGGGCAAGGAGCACTCACGGGTACCGGAGCACCGGGCCGGTCACTGCAGGCACAGAGGGGGCGCG